CTGCCCGCCCGCTGTCGGGGAGCGCCGGGAGGTCTCGCGAGAGGTGCGCGGCGGGCGGGGTGGGTCGCCATGGCAACCTGGTCCCCTCATGGCCCCGCGGCCCTTGTTTACATCCCCGGCCCTGGGACCCGCGCTGTCCTTCTTGATCAGAATCTGCTGTAGTCGGGGAATCGGGAAGGGCATTGTGCTCCGAGCTCTGTTGCTGTTCAGCCTCCGACCTCTGGCGCTTTCTGTCATCAGGTGTCGGAGCGATAGAAGTTCCGTCGTTGATTTGCTGCTGGTGATGCTTCTCACAGCCAGAGCTTTCCCTTGGGAACGTCTGTGTCCAGGACAACCCCAGCACTGAGTGACCTGAACCTAGAACTGATCAACACCCAATTTTAGCACCTCGGGGCAGTGCACTGATGGTTTGGGTTGTGGCAGCGTTCCCTGCCCCGCATCTCGGGTAAACGCAGGAGCAGCTGGCGGCTGTAGCAAGAAACTCCAGGCCTCCAGTCCAGAGTTCTGTCCGTGGGGCTGGAGTGGAGCCCTGCAGAAGCAGGTCAGTGCAGGCCAGCGCTGGTGGGGAGCAGGGCCCTGGGATGGAGCAGCAGCAGAATCCCAGCTCTCCCAGTGTGTACCCAGACCTGCCAAAGCTCCTTTGCAAGGGGGACTCCTCAGGAGGGATTTCCTTCCCCCTGGGCTGCCCAGCTGCCACAGGCAGGTGGCCTCTCTGCAATTGTGTCACATCCCTGCAGCCCCCCTTCCCTCAGGCATGGGGACCCGGGCTCACACCACAGGCTCACATCAGCAATCCCGGGAGGAGGAATGCACTGCTTTTGCCAAAAGATGCCATTCCCTGTATAAAAGAAATCATGTGGAAAACAGCAGCTGATGGTCTGGTCCTCTGCACAATGCAGGAATGGGTAAAACAGACCCAAAGCTTGGGTGAAGGAATTGTTTTTGTCGTAGAATCTCCTTCATAACATCTCCTAAGTGAAAACCAATCCCCAAGCATGCAGATGCTGCTGGAAACAACACCCCTTTCTGCTGACTGCAGTTCTCTCTGCCACCAGTCCAGCATGGGACAGCACAGGCTGCAATATAAAACCACAATACTGAAGGAATATGTGGAGGACTGCTCTGTACCACCCCAAGAGCAGACATTTCTAATGGCCTTTCCAGCCTTGTGGTGAAAAAAAATCTATAAAAATTACTTAGCAAATTCTATTTCTGACCAGGAGTCCTGTGGCACCAAGGTTCTGCTGTGGGTGGCAGAAGCAGCAGCAAAGGCAAGACTGGGCTGGGGGAGAAAGGCAGAGGCACTGGCAGGGCTCTGCAGCAGCAGGAGTGAATTAACTCACTTTCCAGTTGGCAGGACATGGTCCCAAATAGCTCAGCGAGATCTGCAGCCCCCCTGGAGACAGGCACAGTCCCTCCTCATCCACTTTCATGATCCCTTGCAGGCAGAGAGTAGCCAAAGGCAAAGGCAGGATAACTTTTGTCCCTTCCACTGAGGGCATGATGTTAAAACTGGCCTATACTTGAGGAGGAAAAACCCAGCTTGCCTTCCTGATTCCCACCTGGAGAGATCAGGTCTGGCAGAGGGGAAAAGGCTTGTTTATACTGGAGCTGGGCAAGGGAGTCTGTAATCACATCCAACCCTCAGGCCTGCTGTGCTCACTCCTAATCCCCTTCTCTGTATGGGGCAGCACTCAGGTGGAAACTCTACAAGGTCCTGGGGGCAGGGACAGAAGAGGAAGTTGGGACATGGCACTGGAAATTGTCTGGGGCACCATTTCCCCTCTCCAGAATTATTTCAAACACGTGCTCAGCAGGGCAACGCTTCTCTCATCCGAAAAAACCCAAAAAGAGAACCAGAAGAGCTTGGCTCAGCTAAAGTGCCAGGCTCAGGGCTGGAAAGGAGAAGGCTCCCAAATATGAAGGACTGACAAAAGTGCCACCAGCACTTGAAACCAAGGCTGGAAACAGCCAAAACACCACAGTCCTACCCATGGATAGAGGAGCTCAGTTCCTGTTCATTCCAGCACAGGGGTCCCTACAGCTCCCCAGTGAATAATCCCCACCCCACTTGATCACAAGGGAGCAAAATCTGCTGCCATTCAGGAACACAACCACCACACCATGGTGAAGGGCTCTGAATATGAACTGGGCTTGTTCACTATGCATGGGTGGCAGGAGATTTGTTCTCCAGCTGTGTCTTTATATAATCATGCTGCTTGCTGGGTTTTACACACATTTCTTATTTTTGGTTAAGAACACAAAGAAACAGGGACTCCCAACCTCGGGGAGCCCTGAATGTCCTCCACAACTTTATGAAGTTTTATGAAGATGTGAAAAAACTCCACATGTACAGTCAAAAATAGGTTTACTGGAATGTTTTTAGTCACAGCTGTAAGCAGCAATACTGAAAACACTGAGCTTGTGCATTCCCATGGCAGGACCAGAAAGTCTTCTGGATTGTAAAACCTAATTTCATTTTTTCTCTTTTTCTTTTTTTTTTTTGAACAAGAGAAAAACAACACTCTCACAGTTGTCCTCAAAACAATCAGTTCCCTATAATATATTGATATATTTCCCTTCAGACATTTATCCCCTCCTTTTTTTCTGATTCAAAGACAGAGTCCCCTCTGCCTTCCACAGCAGGCAGCTGCTCAAACCATATTATTATTATTATTAATAACATTATAACTCAACCATATATACAGATAGACCATAGGGGCAAGTAGCCAGCTCCAAACCAGAGACCCAGAATTCCACAAAACAGGCTGTTTGGGATCTGAATCTCGTGTTATAAAAAAATAGTCTGACAGCAGGAGCAGGTACTCGACTGGAAAAAGGTTGGTTGGTAGTTCTTAAAACGCTCCCTTAGAACTGGCTGCTTGCCACCACCTCCTGCTCCCAGGAGAAAAAAACAAAACAACTTCCAAGCTATATACAGATATCTCACTTAAATTATACAGCAGTTTGGTTATCCCAGAGGCAGCTCCACCGAAGCCTCCAGCTGCCCTGTCAGGAGCGGTACTTCAGGACTATGGGGACTGCAAAACACAAAGAAAGAAGCTCTCAGCACACACCCATCCCTGCCAGGGAGTCCCCCCATTTCTGCAGTGACAAACACCCAGCAGCTGCAAGCAGAAGTGTTCCCAAGCTAAAGCAATCTGCTGTCTGCACACATGCTAGACAACATATCCAGCTATCTTCATCTCCTTCCAGCTTCCCAAAACTAAACCAGATGGGATTTTCCATCAGTCTCTCTCTCAGCCCTGCTGCCAGCTTTGCCTCTCCCACTGCAGGCTGTGTGTCAGAAAGACAACAAGCCACAAGGGCTTTGCTGAAGGAACAAGAACAGTTACAGAGTTGCCTGCCCCTGGGCACTTCAGTGGGAGGAAACCCTCCAGACCCAGTGGCACAGAAGAGCTGCACTGCCATGCTGGGCTGCCTGGATCCCTGGAACATGTCATTCTGCAGGGAGAGGGATCAATTATTCCTTCCTGGAAGAAACATGCTCTGGTCTTTATGTGCTGTTGGGTAGGAAAAGCAGTGACATCTCTGCTCTGGGCAGCTCCAGGAAAGGCAGAGAGCATGGGAAGGGACCAATGGCAAATCCACAACAGCTACTTGATGGAAATTAAGCAGCACATCAACTTTGGGGAAGAGCATCTGTACACAGCAGGCTACACTGCAAGGTGGCTGATACATGTAGAGATGTTTCTGGAAGATACTGCCCTAGCCTGAAACTTTTCCATGTACTCCCACCCACCTTGGGATCAGTCAGTGCCAACCCTGGGTCAGTACAAGATTGGGAGGACACTGCTGGTTTTCTTTGGTCACAGGACTTGGTTTGAGTCTGCTCCTTGCAGAAGAGGAGCACAGAATGCTCTGCAGGCACCTTTATGGTGTCTTATGGCAGAGTGGAGCCCATGGAGCAGCTCAGGTGCTGTCCCTCAGGGATAACAGCACCACAGTGTCACTCACAGCACGGAGTGCCACCAATATGTCCATGCCAGACATGGCTGGGCTGATGTGGAGCTACTCACCGATGATCACGAGCAGGAGAATGACCACCACCATCGCTATGATCGCCTTCATCTGCAAGAGGAGCACACAGGCACCTTACACGGGGTGTCAGGGGTAGCTGCTTCCACCTGAAAGGAGGCCTTTGCCTCCCAGCATGTTTTCAGCTAGGAAGCAGAGCTTCTCCACCTCTTCCCAGGGGCAGGCAGCCCTTCCACAACCCCAGCCCTGCCTGTTCCCCTCCTTGCTCACCTTACAGTCTCGCCACCACATCTGTCTCCGGAGATGCTTGGCTCTTTTGCTAAAGGCTGCTGCATTGTCTGATAAACTGTCTATTAAAGGAAAGAAAGGAGTCAGTTCAGTGGTGCACACACTGCCAGAGCACCCACTCACTGTTCTCCTAACTCCACTGAGTTCCATGCAATGAAAGACCCAACCACAGCATGATTCACCAAAGCCACAGCAGAGTCAATGTGGCGCCCTTCACCAGAGCACACAGACAACTCCCACTGTGCTCCCTCTGTACTGGCTACTCTCTGAGGACAGGAACTTGCTCTGCAAGCCAGTGGACAGTGCCAGAAGACAGACCAATCTATCTTTGCTTTGCTTGAAGGACCAACTAGATCCCAGCACCCAGACATCTCCAAACTAAAGCCTCTGCACAGAGCAGCAGGTAAAGGTGGGGAGAGAGTCAGCAGAAAGCCAGATCTGCAACCTGAGGCTGAGCAACACCACTCTCAGGAGGGACAGAAATGTAAGCTCAGGTCTGACATGAGGTGCTTTCAGAACTGAACCAGGTTAACCTGGCCCAGCAGAGCTGTGTTTGACATCACACCTGATTTATCCTGCAGGTCGTCCAGCCGCTCGCCCCTTTCGATCACCTTGGTGATGTTCTCCTGCATGACATCGATGACTTCATCCACCTGGTTCTGGACACTGGGGCAGGGCAAAGGCAGCATGAGAGGCAGAAGTGAGCACCAGAGCTGCCCAGCCTGGTGGGATCTGAGAGCTCACCCACAAAAATGAAAGGGCACAATGGTGGAAAGAGGATGATGGGATGCAGAGAAAGCCAGAGGCATGGCATTGCATGGGTGGATCTCTGGCAATCCCAGGAACAGCAAGGGAACACAAGGGGCTCTGAGAGAGCATTGGGAAGTCAGCAGAAGTGGGACACCCTTTCTAACACCTTTAACACACAAATGCAGTATGGAAAAACACTAATTGCTGTTGGTGGGCACCTCTGCTACAGAAGAGCTCACAAAGGGGAAAGAAGAAGTATAAAAACCATAACTTATCTTTCTACATTTCATAGAACTCTAAATCACACCCTTGCTCAATAACTTGAGGTAAAATTAAATCAGTTCCCTCCTCCAGGAACTGAGTTGCTAAATTAAACCCACTCTGCCAGGGGCACCAAGAGGATAGCAAAGAAATGGCTTATAAGAACTAAACCAAGTTATAATTCATCTTCTCATAGGTTACACAACTCTGTGGGTAGCCTTCAGTGAACAGTAGCCTAAATCACACCCATAGGGTTATTAAAAATGCATTTATTCACTCCAGAAAAAAAAACTACACTGGCAAGAGAGAAAAATTTTCCTGGTGGAAAAGTACTGCTCCATTCTGGTTTTTATTTTGGAGCTAATACACACTTATTTTCCTGGAGATAGAAATGAGGATTTTCTTGAGGCCAGAGTGATAACAATACATTGTTTGAGACATACCGTTCCCAGAAAAGCAACAGCAGGATCTTGGAAGCAACAAAACAGAAATAGCTCCAAAGAGAAACAGCAAATCCTCCCCCATGGCCCACAAAACTGAGGCCAAAACAGACTCAAGGCCAGTCAATGGGGCACTGCAGAACCAGAAACAGGGCTCTGCTCTCGCCACCATGCCTCTAATTAATTTATTCATTCATTAATTCATTACAGACATAGGTTCACACTGACCTATTTCTTCTACCAGCTACCAGCCTCTCACCAAGCAGACATCTGTGCTGATGAGGAGCAGCTGCAACTAGCAACAGTGGTCACATCACTTGCTCATATTTACTTACTGCTCCAAATTCAGGTGAGAAGAGCCATTAAAGGGCATTTTTTTCCCGCCCAGAAAGCCCTAGAAAGAGTTCCACATCTCTAAATATGAAGGGGTTTCCCATCTTAGCCTTTCAGGTAGAGCTCTCCAGCACCACTGCACTGTGGCTTTCAGAGCTAGAAGAGCCAGGCAGCTCCTCTGAAACCAATTTCTGAGTCAACAGCTGTGATAAGGCACATGCTGGACTCCAGCAGCACATGTAAAAATCTGCTTTATTTAGGACAGCATAAGAAAGGAACCTGTCTTCTCTGCTGCATCACAGAGTCTGTGGGAGCAGCATCTCTCTGAACCCACCTACACCAGGCGGCGGCAGCTCCTGCCTTCCACACTGACAGGAACTGCCTGCCAGGAGCTCCTTATCGGGAAGGGAAGGGCACAGATAATCCCCAGAGACCTCTCAGCAGGAACTGCCCCGTGCCCAGGAGCCTGTTCTGATCCACTGTTTGTTTTACAAAGGCAGAGGCGAGTGGCAGAGCTCTGGGAAGGTGGCACTGAGGATGCTGCCCAGGAAAAGCACAGCAGTGCCCTGTGGAGCCAAGTGTCCACCCCACACAGGACACACAGCCCCATGGCCCATCCCTGGGGCACTGGGTGATGAGCAGGCACGTTCTGCAGGGGGCTTTCCTTACCTTGGCACAACAAGTCCCAGCTTGGAGCTGCCAGCAATGCAGCTACAGCTTGGGGCGAGAGGAAAAGCACCAACATCTGCTACCCCAGATGAGCCAACTTGGCAAAACCTCTAAGCCTCAAACATCGGCTTCATATGCAGAAGTCTACATTTGCAGTATGTAAATGTTTCTAAAATAATTTTCTGGCTTGAAAATAGAGAGATTTCCTCCCACAAGAGATTTGTAACCAAGTTATCCTGGTACAACTAACGAATGGGAACACACAAGGTTAGAATTCATCTAGGAACTTGCAGAACAATGCAACACCACCTGTATCCCTGCCAGTGCAGGTCAGAGCCTTGAGAGGTGCTGCTGCAGTCTTGGGACACCCCAAAGTGTTGGAGGCAAAACAGGCTGGTAACTTGAAGCTGCTGTGGTGGCTTAACAGCATTTGGGGGAGAGCTATGGAGCACAAACCCTTAGTGCCCAAGCTTCTCAGTGTCCTGTCTGCTCTCACCTGAGCTGCTGGCAGAATGCTAAGGGCCCTTGTTACCTGCCCAAACCCTGTCAAGCTGTCAGCTGTCCCCAAAAGAACATTTCACAGAGAATGGAGGCACAAAGAAATCAAGGCTTATAAACTCCCAGGAATGTTGAGGTGTTGACTCCCATGGAATACAGATACTGTATATATCCATGTAGCACTGTTTTGCCATCTGGGGAAAAAAACCCAATGAAACAACAAAGCAAAAAACAGGAAGGAAGAGGCCAAGCCAGGGAAATTCAGACCTCCACACAGCACCTTCACCAGACCTTGCTTTCTGCTCTCTCCCACCCTTCACTGCTGCCTCTCAAGGAGGAGGCTGAAAAATGCTCAGCCTATGTATTAGCCCAGCAGCTTCAGAACTAATTCAAAAATCCTCACTAACTTGGCATGCCTGAGGTAGGAAACTCAAGTCACATCAAGAAGAAAATATTTTCTTGTTTTATTTGGCAAGAGGGAATGAGTCCTCTAACACAAAGTGTATTTCCTGTTGGGGAGCTATGGGCTTTTGACACATACACTTCATGAGTTTTACTCCAGCCAGATTTCCAAGAGAAATAAAGTGGAACAAATACCTGCCAGGAAAGGGAGCAAGACAAAAACATGAAATATGTCTCCCACGACCTTATTTCTTACTAATTACTGCAAGTCTGATGCTTTTAACAAGGGCAGCAAACATACCCCATCAAAGCAATGAGATCCAATGACACTCAGCTTGCTTCAGACTCCTTTTTTCCTCTGTTCTGCTCTTCCAGAGTGGGAGGAATAAGCCTTTCCATTTTGGCTACACTGGGTCAGGTACTGAAAACCTGCCTGGGCTGGTCAGGGTGCTGGGCTAACAACAGTGCTGCATTCTCCAGACACTGTAAACAGGCTGTGCACACACCATGGGATGTGCTGCTTGTCTCCAAGCTGGCTGTTTGCAGCCAGCATGACACACTCCAGTTTTCCACCTCAGTGATATTAACAGTGTGTATTTTGGTGCAAATAACACCCAAACACCCCTTGCTGTGGCAGCCACCTGGGGAAGAAGGAACAGGAGGGAAAGCCAACACAGATGGAGGGCACAGAGGCAGGAGGCCAGCGCTGCACAGCACTCCCCAGCTCCTGCAGAGAGCCCTGCTGTTCCCAACAACAGGGTAGCAGTGCTGAACCACACCACAAAGCCCTGGATTGAAGTTCCTGCTTAGTCCCAGCTGGGAGGAAAACAGCAGTCTGTGCATCCCTGAAGCCTTTCAGTCATTGAAAGGATTCTAACAACAATGGTATGTGTCAGCGTGGTCTTGGTATCACCTTCAGATGAAAGCCTGGCTGTGGCTGGGGTTCACTGCACAACCTGCAAGGAGCCCTGGGAAGCTGCAGTCAGCTCTTTCCTCAAGAGTTCAAACCCTTCCCCAAAGCTTCCCCCTGCTCAGGGCCTGCAGCCAGCCAGAGCCACTGGGGCTGGGAATGCTGACCCCAGCTCCCCCCCAAAGCAGCACAATGAGGGATTCACAGAGACCAAGAGGCTCCTGGGGAACCCCAGCACCGTGCTGAGCCTCAGCAGCAGCATGGACAAGAACCCAATGGCACAGTTCCCTGGAAGCACAAACATCAGCAGCAAAGTGAGTCAAGCAGTGCAGAAAAGGGGCTGATTTTAGCAGAATTTTTGAAAAGATGGTCTGTGATGAGAAGCTCCTTTTCCATATAAAAGAAATCCATCTGGAAGATGAACATCCCAGCTTCCCTTGAAAAGGCTCTCATGCACACATTCAGCACTTCTTCCAAAGCCTCAAAGCAAAGGCACAGAAAGGGGATCAGCTCTCCCTTACCTGCTCTTTGTACCTTTGGGGAAAAGGATAAAAGTCCTTTTAAAGCTGCATTTCCCCAGCTCACCCTGGGGACTGGGAGGCCTCAAAGGGGCCAAAGGGACCCCATGTGGCCTCTCAACTACAAGAGGAGAGCCCACCCCAACCAAGCAGCTTCCAGACACAGCAGGACAAAGCTCAGCTTGAAGGGGACTGACACATCCTCCTGTCACTGTTGCTGACTGTAACCCACCTCTTTCCCCTACAAGGTTTGCAATGTTCCCCACAGCTGAGCCAGTCTTGAGGGTCGCTGCTGCCAAACTCCACCCTGACCCAATCCATTCCCCTTTCCTGCCAAGGACAACTAGGAAAACTTTCCAGTCTTGCCCCTCACGTTTAACATGTTCCACACCTTTGCTCCCATAATCCCATCACTTTTTCCTCTACCCAATCCTCCACCCAGTTTCCTTTTACGCCCATCTTCACACCTCGTTCCTCCAGCCCCGTACTGCCATGGCCTCTCTAGCTTTGCCCAGCTATGCCTCAGCTCTCCAAATGCTCAAATTTCTCTTTAAAATGTCTTTTCCTTACAGTTTTTCAGCAGCCACCCAACCCTTTCTTTGTTGAGACAAAGAAAACTGACTCACTATGAGACCAGGCATTGATCCCTACAGCACAAGGGCTGAGCTGATCAGAAACTTCATAGTGATCTCCATGACAAGAAGTGATGACTGCATGGTGTAAGTGCTTATTAAACAAAGCAATCAACGCTGATGAGAGCAGAAAATAAATTCTGTTTTGTAACAGATGCTCTAGATGCTCCACAGATGTAGGCCCTTGATAGCCCAAGGGACATATTCCATGCCACATCCACTATATCCAGGCAACCTCTGGCAAAGGGCAAGCCTCGTGTATGGGCCATTAGTAACATCACACCTATGGACCCACCAGCTCCTGGCTAAATGCTTCTTTCACTTTTCTTCCTTTTCACAGGTGCAATGCCCTCCTCTACCTAAGCCATACCCTTCTATGGAGGTGAGACCCCACTCATCAACTCATTCCCTCCAGATCATGCCCTAGAAGGGAGGCTCTATCCACACTGGCTTACTCCAAAGAGCAGTTCCTCTCTACCAACAGCATCCTCACACTCTGGAGGGAACAGAGATGCCCTGAAAATTCAGGGTGCAGCCACCTGCCCTCTGCCTCTTGTGCAGCTCAAGTGCCCTTCACTCCTCAAGATAACAAGCACAGCCTAATGCTGATGGTGGTAATGAGTCATGCCAGAGCTGTGCTGGCTTCCTCCTGGCATGGAAAAAATCCCTAACCAAGAGCCACACTCAGGCTGCAAACAAGACCCAGTCTGAATAATGCCTGGGCAGCAGTCCCCACACAGATCTCTGTCCTGGCTCCACAGAGATCAGCAAAGGAAACAGGGTAACACAGACCAGGGGGCTCTAAGTATCCCCACACTTTTGATTGAGCACCAGCACCACCACATCCTTCACAGGAAAAGGCAGGAGAAGAACTGGAGCTGAACAAGCATCATCCAGGAAATGACTCGATGGGAGAAGGATCCAGAGTGTTCACTCCTTCCTTCTTGCCCCACTCCTCCTCCAGATGTAATGGTTTCCTGTTTTCCAGCTGCTTTGACCCCAGTGAGTCACTGTTCATCTCCAGGTCACCTGCATCAGGTTTTCATCTGGAGAAGAGGATGCCAGAGGAGCAGCTGCTGCCCAAAACCCACGGTCCTGGTATGCTCCTGACCATTTACTTTCTTGAAACATTAAGGAGCATGTTACAGGATGAGGTAAAATCAGAAATTAAAAAATGGTGCTGGGAAAGGTTAAAATTCAGGGTTAATGCTGTAGAGAAAGAGCCTCACAAAAGCATGGAAGAGGTCACCACCAGAACACAACAAGGGCTTCAGAGACTCCAATAAGCTACTGTGATGTAATCTTATCCCTCTGCCTCTGTCAACACACAATTTCTTGACAGGTTGCATCAAAGCTGAGATTTCCTTTAGCTGTGGACACGTGGGGTAGGACAGGTCAGTTAGAAGAACACAGGCACAAGGAATGTTCATGTGATGAGCTACACAGAAATACTCTGACAAGACAGCAGCAGGAGCTCACTGTGCCAGAATAAATAATTATCTCTGGGACGCTAAGGAACAACAACTTACTGCCTGATCTTGTCATTCCTGGGTCCAAATCTGGATCCAGAAGGCACCCTCCTGCAGGCAGAAAAGAGCAATCAGGACAGAAGGTACAGTGAAAACATGTTTTTAAACCAGACCCAAAAGATACAGAGGAGAGAACCAACGCCTTGAGCACAGAGGATTGTTTTCATACCTCCCATCAGTCCCTCCCATGTCTTAGCATCCATCTCACTCTTACCAAAGGTCACACCAATTAATTCATGCTCAAGGGCCAAGGCTCTGGAAGAACATCCCAAAGGAATCAAAGGTTTTCATTCCCAAGCCCCCAGTCTCAGAGCCACAGGCAGGTATGACGCTGCATTCCAACTCACAAGAAAAAGTCTTCCTCTTCATCTGAGTCTTCCTCCAACAGGTTCCTCTGCAAACACAGAAAAACCATCTCATCAATAAGCAATCACCATCTCACACATGCATTTCCAGCCCTTAGGATGCGATCAACATCCTCTGACTGCAGGAAGGCCCTCTCTGCTCAAGGGACAGTCCCCAGCCCTGCACTCCAAAATATCAGCATCACCCCCGGCCACCCTGGGCTGTCCCATCCACAGGGGAGATCAGATCCACTCTGGATTTGGAGGACGTGGTTTCCCCACCATCTGCTGGCAGCAGGTGTAAGAGGGGTGACCACAAGGGAACACACTGGCTTCCTTGGGCTGGAGGGCAGAGTGCTCTGGCAACTCCCCAGGGATCCAAAACCTGATTTTTAAGAGCAGCCCCACAATCCCACTGAAGCCTGAATGTTCTGGACAAAAACATTTCTGCTCAGGGTCAAAAACAATCAAAAGAGGGAGGTGACACACTAAAGAAGTGAGCCCAGGGTGGTTCTTGGGGTACCAACAGTTGCTGATTTCCCGTGTGTAGATCTGAGCTGCCACCTGCAAGCCTGATGCTCTGATGTAGAAGCTCACCTACATTTCCATTCTGTCAGATTTGCTCAATCGACTCAAGCAAACCTGCAACACCATGCAATAGTTCCAGCCACTGCTTCCCTCCGGGGAGGAGCAATCTGCTCTTAGCAGCACGGGCTCCTGGTCTCGCTGACAGCTGTCGGGAGCTGCAGCAGCATTTCTGAGCACAGCCCAAAGCCAGCTTCAGCACAGCCTGACCCCAGCAGGTTCGATCCACTCTGTCCAAACCAGGCAAAACTGGGACTTGTATTCAAAGCCTGAAATGTGAGGGGACCGTAGTGACAGGGGAAAAAAACCAGCTGTAAAGCACTGGGTGACTTCACTCCCAGGCCGTGTCCCTGCCAGGCTCCGCGGAAGGGCAGGAGGCTGGAGCACACCGGTATCTCCCGGTGATGCAGACTGGAGGAGCCGCAACAGGTTCCCAAAACAGCCGTACCGAGGCGGGGGTGACACACACGGCCCGGGGCTGGCGCTCGGACAGCTCGGACACCGCGCTCCGGGCAGCTGGGCCCCGCTGAACGCTGCGGCAGCACCGGGAGACCCGGCCAAGGCACCCCGGCCGTGAGCACCGAGCCCGCTCAGCCCCGCGGGAGAGGCACTCACCCGCTCGCTCTTCACCGAGCCCGTCACCTCGTCGTCGTTCAGGTGCCGCTTGAATTTGGGAGGCATGGCCGGTGTGTGCCGCGGGGCTCCGTGCCCGGGGAGAGAAGCCTGGAGGAGAGAGCAGGGAGCGTCCGGCAGGCCCAGGACGGG